TTATTTCAATGTTATTTTGGAATTTTTATATTTATAAATTTTATTTTTAATAAAATTTCGATTACATAAATAATTACACATTTTAAATCAATACCTAAGATAAAAATCTTTAGGTCAGCAAAAAAAATTTTTTTTTATAACTCGCTAGATTGAGTCTGATATCGATTTAAAAGTTCTAAAGTATTGAGAATTAATTTTGTTTCAGGACGATTAGAAGAATCTTATCCAATATTGTTTGTAAAATTCAATATGAAGTTATAGATATCTTTGATAATCCAAAACTCAAAACACCAAACTCTAATTTTCTTTAATAAATTAAAGTATTCTTTGAATGTCAAATTATGAGTTAATGAATTAATAAATATAAAATCCAGTAAAATAATATATATAGTACTTACAAGGCCTCAACGAATAATAGTCTTATTACCTAGAATAAAAGCTCAAGCACTATTTTCTTAGAAATATGCAGCTTATCTGCTAATATAGAATACCTTTCATGTCATTAGGCTAACAACATGCTTTTTTGGAATTAAAAGAATATCCATCATTACCATGATAACCACATCTCCACAATCATATAGACTGTTCATTGTAATCTTGTAAAATTTGCCTTTAGATATTCTAGCAAATTTCCATCATTAGCTATATTGTAAAATTATATAGTATCTATTGCTATCTATTTGTTTACATTAGATAAACACTTTTGTTAATGATTATTAGTTGATATCTCAAATTATAAATTGCTTTATTACCTTTCGTAATTCTATAGAATCTAATAAATTTGAATGACAATTAACTCTTCATAATAGCTTAAGCTTTTTAAAAAAAAAAAAACTCGAGTTAGTATCTGCATTCGGATTTAATAATTATTGATCTAGGTTGGCGAGTAAAAATTAATTTTGCATGGCTTCATATACAAAAAAGCTATTTATTTTTAATTTAATAAATTTTCTTTATTGTTAACATTAATATTTCGAATATTAATATCTATAGGAGTATTGTTAATTAAATAAAATAATCGTCGATTTTCAAATGACATTATATCATAGACGACAGATTGTTTTTTGCTTCCCCCTCCCATCATAGTACCTCCAAAAAATATACGAACCTAATAAAATAATCTATTAAAAATATATACTGTAAATATAACTTTAGCTAAATTTTATATTACCTGATTGTGATTTTTTTTTTCTATACCTGAGGTAGAAAAAAATTGTAAGGAAAGACCTTTCGCCTTTAACTGCTGCATAAATAAAGGTATATGCTTTGCAAATACATGCATATACGGTGTAATATCTGCTTTTCGATAAAGCCTATATTTTTGTAAAGAATTTATAGAGCCTTGAGTTGGACGGCAAAAAGTTCGAATCCAGTTTTCCGCATCAACTTTATATTGATCGATTTCTTGATTAGAAAGTTGTGATTTTCGTATAACATTATATAATCGATAGAATTCACGCCATAATTGTTCAATGTCTTTTCCTTGCGTACCAGAAATAAATTGTGATACAGGGAATTTTTCTAACATTTTTTTTTTATCTGGACCCATCAATGAAGTCCAATCCCATTTGTTACTTGTAGACTTAAAAAATTCAAACCGAATTGCGAGACTCTTAAATATTGCTTCAATAGACAGTTTAATTTGTTTTTCAAATTCCTTTTTTTTGAATAAGTCATTAAAAAAACATTCCATTAAAATATCCGATATACGTAAAAGTAAATGCAATTCATCAGGAATATAATTTTCTTGATCAATTGCAGGAAACAGAGATGGCTTTTTTTTACCTAATTAAATTAATTTTAAAATTAATAAATTCTAAACAATTATAGTTGTTAGACGAAACCTTCTCTGCATGATAACGAAAGATGAAACCTAAACCCGAAAAGATAAAACTCCTGACAAAAGATGAAACTCCAAAATTTTCTGAAACTTAAAATTGGTGAAACCTGATATAACCATAATTCCTACTAAAAAAAAACAAGAAAAAAAAATGTATATCTTGCTAAAAGTCAAAGCTTTTGGTAAACAAACAAATATAAATAAAGCTAAACAATTAATATTTACATTAAGTATTAATAATCGGTATTTTTGTAATAACATAGCTTTTCAATGAGAGTAACGAATGCTACAATTTATTGCATTAAATATCAATGCAATATCTCAAGAGTAAATGTATCTTTTTTGATAATTTTGAATTTAAGAAAACAGTATAGCTACCCTTGAATTACTTGGAGGTCATTTACTGTCCCAACATTTTTTGTAAAGTTCAATCTATTGAGATTGTATATATTCTGTTCTTCTCAATTTCTTAAAAAGATATGAATAGCAAACGATTCTCTTGTTTTGAAAGATTGGAATAGTGGTCTTTCACTTAAAATTTCTCAAAGAATCACTTAAAACTATAAACATCAGATTTCTTCTCACGTTTATATTTGTGATTAACAAAGTACATATGCTAGCATTCTATGAGCAATTGAGTTTGAAGTCATAGATTTTTTATTTAAATGTTTCAATAGTTCAAAATCTCCAAAATTTGCAATCTTTGGTTCTTCGAATACTAAATTATTAAAGTATTAACAAATTAATAAGTATTAAGTCAGATGAAATATATATATAATACTTACAAGCTCCCTATGAATAATATCATTATCATGTAAGAATAAAAGTTCGAATGCAATTTCCTAGTTTGTATATCCATTGTAATCTTGTAAAATTTGATTTTAGATAATCTCTCAAATTTCCATCATCAGCATATTATAAAATGTTTGTTGTTTGTCTTCTCTTGTAAATTCGATTTTTTATTATTTTAACATTTAACAAGTATAATTCAAGAACTGGTGATCCGTTTCTTCATCTTTTATTAGTTTTATCACCCTTTGTAGTTTCATCACTTTCATCAGTTCGCTACCTTTCATTACTTATTGTCAGTTTTGTCACCTTTGTCACCTTTTGTCATTTGTTATTTTAATCGACAAAAAACAGAACTAGGTTTCGCATTTTGTTAACACGAAACTTTAAAGTCTCGTCTAACAACTATATATACAATGCTCTAAAAAAAGTGTGTAATTAACTTACATTTAGAATTACCAGAGTTTGTCCAATCCTGATCCATATTCCATTGTGATTCTGCATCACAATTACAATACAAACAAAAATACTTAGCGTTGGGAGCATTTAATCCCATTACTATATACATGAATTTCCAATCACCACAGAAATACAACTCTACAGGCCAATGAATACCATTGCTATCTAAAAGTCCATTATGTTTAAGATCACGGAGCTCATGCTCAAAAATACGACCGATCTTTGCCAACACGTCATACTTTTCTTGTCCGGTATATAAACAAACACTAAATAACCGAATAATTAAATTTTATAACTAAGTATTATACAGTTAAATGATTTAT